ATTTTCTGGAGTAAATTGTACATTCAACCGCGATATACTTCGATATGCCATTAAAGTAAAAGGTGTAATGAGACCAAACTCAATTAAGTGTATAGTTGCTAAGTACAATATTTTAGGGACACCCCGTGAATAAAATTAAATAACACTGTTTCAAAACAATACCTTTCGTTAAGAATACATCATATGTTTATTTAAATCGGTGGTTTACAATGTAAAATGAACAAATAAAATTCATAATACAAGTCATTGAAAGTTAAAATATCAATTTAAATTAATTAATCTTTGTATGCACTCTATAGGTACGAATATGTTTACATTAGTATGAATAATAATATTATAGTAATTATAAATAGTTTTCTTATCTATATCATGTACTACTAAGTATTCAGTGCAGTAAACTTTGTATAATTATACAAAGTAAATATCACAAATTTAGAGATTCAGTTCGAAATAAGATAAAGCACGAGCTTGACAGAATTAATTTCTATACTCATTTGCTAATGATATCACGTCGTCGTACAATAACGTTTTTACATACTGAGACCATAAAAAATCCAGGTGATTAAATTTTTTATACAGCACTTCTTTGAATAGAACAACATTTGGCAAACGTTGGCGTAAAATTTCCACATCCTGTAAACATAAATGCGCCATTTTGGAAAAAAACAAGTTTAATTATATACGCATTGTACTTAAAAATGTATTCTCTTACCTTGCTGGTAGCAAAAAAGTCCTTATGCCCAAAAAACAAGGCTACAGGTGCCGTAACTTGAGACAAATCGTATACCGGTGGATTAGAGCTGAAGTACAGATTTTGATTGATGCGCGTCCCATAATTATACGCCTGAAACTCTCTGGTGTCGATGTTCTGCCAGTAGTGCTCCAATTGTATTGCTAGAAATATATTTGCGAGTGCTTATAACTGATAACTTAAATTTTCAACCTAGAAAGCGTATTCCTAAGATCAATATCTATAATCATAAAATCATAAACGAGTTCTTTTGCATCATATGACCAGAGGAAGTCAAAGTGGTTGAAGTTTTCATTTTGCACCTCTTCGTAAGTAGCAACATTTGGCAATTGTTTTTTAAGGTACTGTACGTCCTAAAAAAAATGAAGCGGTTGTTTTGCGTTAATTGTGTTATTCAAGGTGTGATTATTACTATAATTTATACACAATGAAGTAAAATTAAACGATGGTTGATATACTACAAATTTGCTATACCAATTATTTTTAAATTTATAATTTTTTAAGTAAAATTTTTCAGTCTCAATTTCTATTTCATTGATACAATAAATTTTTTTTTTAAAGAATTGATAACCTATGCATCATGAAAAAAAAAAAAAAAAAATTTGCGAATAAAACAAGAATTCATCTGTTTCATTAACGAAACTTTGAATCATCAACCAGTTAAACTCCGTAATTTCTAAGAAAAGGAAGACTCATAATTTCGGTAAATTTATTGCTAGTTTATAATATATCGTTCAGAAAAAAGACAAGTATACCTTGTAGTTGACTATATCGTCATTCTTGGCGTACCATATTGAAACAGGGGCTGTTACTTTGGATAGGTCGTAGACAGGAGGTGTTTTTTGACCATATTTTCTCATATTATCTTTAACACCATAGTCGTAAGCTTGAAATTTTTTCATTTTGTAATTTTGGTTGTAGCTATAGACAGTAATTACAGAGGTTCCAGCTGGAAAATGTGCTAAAATGTTGGGTATAGCCGTCTGAAACGATTTACATTTTAATTGGTAACTAGTTTAACATTTTAATATAATTAATTTTTAAATTAACAATATTTATATTGTGATTTATATAGCTAAATAAAATTTGATATTGAATGCTTACTCGATTCAGTCGGAGTGGGTCTAGTCCAATTGTAGAAATCAACGAAGTACATAAGTTTTGAAGAGCATCTCCGTCTTTGCAAAATTTAGCCCCAAACGCTGCAGCTAAGGGACTCTGCGGCAATACTTTGTTTACTTGGAAAGTATTTAACAGTGCCTGTAAAGTCACATTAATCATCATAAATTTCAAGGGAATGGAAATTTTCAGCTAATAAAGCACAAAAATTTCAAATATTTGGTTAACATTTCCACGATTTGATTATGAAAAGACTTATTAGAATTTGATAAAATAACACTAAATATTTGAATTGCGTGTTAAACTAAATTTGTGATATAAA